CTGCATGTCTGCCTCAGCAGAATTTCATGACAAATGCCCACGGTCAGGCACACCTTAGGGTGCCTGAACTTCCCCTTCTGGACCTCTGCCTTCATCCCCCTGAAGTGTCTGAACACGATGGAGTAAGACGGGGTGTGGGAACCCTCAGAATCTGAGACTCCAAGGTAGTATGAACCCAGGTGTGCCCCAGGCCCTGTGCAGGTGCGTGAACAGTAAATGAGCAAAACCTGGCTTGGCTGAGCCCCAAGAGGTTCAGAGAGTCACTTCTCTGGAGAACTCTGCAGCTGGAATCTGTGTGCTGACGAGAAAGCTTAAGCTGAAGAGAAAAAGGAAAGTAGCTTATTTGCAGCTTTGGGAAAGCAACCCTCCACAGCCACCCTAGGATGAACCCCAAGAGAAACCAGCAGCAGGCAGGGTACACAGTGCACTACCTTCATGAAACCAGATAATCAACAAGGAGGCCAGAGAGCAGCCAGCAGCCGGCTTGTGAACAGTGCATACTGGGCTTGGGGGCACAGACACAGGACACAGGTCACGATGGGTGAAGGGGAGACAGCGACACTGATCCTACATTTTTTATTATATTTTACTCTCTCTCCCTCTCTCCTCCCCGCCCCCCAGGTCAGAGGATGAAAAAGTACAGAACTGGTTCTCTCCTTCCACTGTGTGGGTCCTCGGTATTAAACACAAGTTGTCAAGTTTGGTGGCAAGTGTCTTTACCCACTGAGCAATTTCACCAGCCCCACCTGATATTTTAAGATGTTAAGTTAAAGGCCAGGCATGGTAGTGCATGCCTATAATTCCAATATTCAGGAGGCAGAGGCAAGAAAATCAGGAGTTTAAGGCCAGTCTCAGTTACGTAACAAGTTGGAGGTCAGCCTAGGCTACTTGTGGCCTTATCTAAAAATGGGTTTACAGGTTTGGTGAAAGTGAGGGCTGGCACACGCACATCACATCCTGTAACCTCGTATGTGTAGCACAGAAAAATGTTACTAGAAACCTCGTTTTTAAAAAAGCAATGCAAATTTGTTTTCTTGGCAGATACAGGTTAAGTTCCCTTCCATTTAATTCTGAGGTCATGTCAATGGTGGTGTCGTAGTCGGTAGTAGTGCTGATTGGCACCAAGGGGGCAGCTTCCAGAGAAAACCTGGCTAGCCATATCAGTGACTAATCAGATTGTAGGGGTAACTCTAAGAGTCCCTCCAGATCCTTCCAGGTGCCTAGAACACCAATCATCCCCTTGGCCAGGCCTGCTGGGCCCACTATGATCACAGCACACCTGCAAACAGCCCACCCACAGGAGGAAGGGCGGCACCCTTAGTGTGGCTGCGAAGGCAGAATTGGAGGCCCCAAGGGAAGTTGACCAGCAAACACCAGGTTCCACGGCTACTATTTCACTCCACATATCGGGCTATAGGCAACAGAGTATTCAGAACGTTCTAGAACATGAATACATTGTCCAGAACCAATCCACCCTTTTTTAAGCTGCTCCCAACACCAAAGAATGATAGAAGGAGTGAAAAAATGAAGAGGAAACAGTGTCCACACTTAAGGGAGGTTCTCAAGTTTCTGCCCCTGTGGTTCAGGCACCTGCTGCCCAGGCCAGCTGCACTTCTGGCTTCCTAGACTCAAAGGAAGTGAAATTAGAGCAGATTGCTGAGGAGAACAGCTACACAATAAGGGTGAGCCTCCAGCCCCGACCTCACAGTCATACAGAAACCAGGGGCCGCCCTACACACTGGCCCCTTAAAGGGAAAGTGGCTTCTGGAGGGGCTCCCCCACCGATGGGCAGGCAGCACCCGGCCTCTCAGGATGCCTGCCTCTTGAGGGTCACTGCGAGGTATGCTGGGTTGTAGAGAGCCTGACCTCTCCCCTGGGGAGCCCTGGTTTCCTGTTCTGTGGAGGGGCTGAGAGACCCAGACTTGAAATAGCAGTAGCGGAGGTAGACAGGACCTTGTCCTGGAAGCGAGGGTCACAGACACATCCAGACTCGAATCTCAGCCCTCTTACAGCAGCTGGGCAACCTCATGTGATGCCATGGTGACAGCAGTGCTGACAGTTGTGTCTCACCAGACGCTGAGTGGGTTCTACGAGGTCACAGGCAGGCCCAGCACATCCAGGTGCTCAGCAGATGTACTTCCTGTGTGGTTTGGTGGATTTATTTATGGTCTCTGAAACACCTTAAGAAGCGGCTGTGGAGTTTACCAGATAGCAAAGGTGTAAGCAAACCATTAAAAGATGAGGACCCAAATACTAGTCCAGTCCTCACTTGGGATTAATTCCAGACTACACTTAAGCCTAGAGACCAAGAAACAGGCTTGTCTTCTCCCGATGTCCATCTGATAAGCACAGTCCCTGTCCCGGATTTCCACGTGTCACCCAGCCATGTGCTGCATCACCTGCTCTGTGGTTCTGAGTTTGCTCAGCCACACCCTGTGCTGGGCATGGCTTGTGGCTAGCAATGGCCAGGCTCACCTGGCACCCAGGTAAATGGTTCCTGCTACGTACCCCAACCAGACACACCTCATTTGAGACCTTGAAGCAGAGGTTGATGGCCTGTTACTCCGTTCACATGAAGCTGCACATGTCACTGTCCTACTCTGGGGTGGCTGGGACTCTCAGCCCTCTTTCTAGGATTTAGTGACTGGAGACATCAACCTGCTGACCCTGTCCTTTCTGTGTAAAGGGAGTTGTTATGAGACTTGAATAGCCCCATGTGTTCATCCATCTGTCTGTCCACCCATCCATCTGCTATCTACCTACCTACCTACCGTCTGTCTGTCTGTCTGTCTGTCTACCCAGCAGTCATGGATTCTCATAAACTAGGAGAAGACAGTAAGTGGGGTGTCTCCTTACCCCCATCTCCACAGCCTCTGTACCCCTACTCCCAGCTCTCTGTCCAGACTGCAGATTCCTAAAGACCTGGAAGGAAGCCCACCTGCATTCCAACCTGGAATTACTCAGTCACATTATCTGGGGGCTTTGATGGTCAGCTGTCTCCCGAAGTGCAGAAGTGAAGCCATCTTAACATCTTGCTACCCTGGCATGGGAAGCATGTGAGGGTGCGGGAGGGAGCCCCCAAGCACTGGCAGAAGGCTAGGTGCAGACTACAGACAGCCATGGTTTCTGCAGGGAGCCACCACCCCCTCAAGCCCTCTGCAGCCACTTCCTTCCCCCTCCTTATCTATTGGACCACCCAGCTCAGAAAGCCACAGTCAACGTCTACTTCCCCACAAACATCAACTGCCCTCCTCGGGGCATAGTGAGCGGATGATCACCCCCAGGTGCTGGGGCAGCCCCCCACTTGTGGGCAACTTTCTTCTCTTTCAAACCCCACCTCTGTTAGACCTGCTGATTGGAAAAGCATGAGGACAGGGCAATAAGCAATTCAGAGCCTCCTCTTGAAAGCGGAAGTGTCCCATCTGTGGGCCCCACAGGTGCAAGCCAGGAACATCTGCCTTAGAGCTGAGGTGGAGCCACCGCTCCCACCAGCCGCACCCAGGGTCCAGCCCTGCTGCCTCTGGGGTGTGGGGCTGTCTACTCAAGCCCCTCACTGCTCCTAATCCAAAACCTCCCTTGGCACACTCATTTGAATATACTGGGGACAGTTGGCTCAAGTGTACTGGTGCTGTGGGCCATGGGCATACACACCTCTCTGCCTCCAAAAAGGTCCAGTAGCCTGGCCCAGCAGCACTGTTGGCACTGCAAATAAACAGACAAAATCCAATACCCTCTGTTGATCCCATACTCTACCCTCATCAGTATACAGCAAGCATGGTGACACTGGTGGACAATCCTCACTCACAGCAAGGTCCTCTCTCCCCAAACCCTGAAGAGAGCAGCCAGCTAGCACGGCAGAAAGGGCAAACAGATCCCATGTTCCAGAAGTCTCCAACTCAAGGCTTAAGCACGTAGCTTGTCTACCTTTATCTTCAAGATACCCAAATGCTAAGACAGTAACATCCAGGGAATCATAATGTTTAGGTTGTTTTAGCAACCAACTATGTACAGGAACAACCTAAACATTAAATCAAGACAAAGCATAGATATCCTAGTGGCATCCTAAGACCATATCTGAGAACCTCCACCAGGCTTAAGAGAACACTAGTCCTTTCTGTGAAGCCACCTGACAGTTGTCATCACCCTTTAGTAAGTGACTTTCTCTGGAACCTAAACCTATGATGGCTTTATTTCTGCTAGTAGTCAAGTGGGGAAGGGCCTGGGTTACTTGCAAGTAAACAGGTTTCCCAGCAAGTTCTGGGCTGCCAGGCAGAAGGGTCCACTGCCTACATGTGACTTATTTGGCTCAAGTTCCCCATGGGGAAGCTGGTATAGGATTGTGTTTCCACCAGTTGGGAGACTGTGACCCTAATCTTGCTCAAGGTCAGGCATAAGATGACAATGGAGATTCCTGGAGGGTACAGGTGGCCAGAGAACTCCTGACGGTGCAGAGAGCACATCTGAGCTCTGCGTGGGCAAGAGGCTGGTCACTCCTGACTCTGTCCCACAGCCTTTCATTGGGTGACAAATAGAAGGGGATTCTTGGGCAAAGTCTGGCTGAAGGCAGGCAAAGTGGGTGGAGTCTCTGGACCTCCCAGGCTACAGGAAGGGAAGACAGGAAGATGAGCCAGGGTCTCTCTCTGGCCAGGACGGACACTACCCCAGGGTGGAGGAAACACACTTCTAGAGCCACACCGCACTGGATCCAGTGAGAGGCTGCTGGGCTGCAGGCTGGATAGAAGGAAGTTGTTGGAAAGTCAACCCAGAATGGCATGGTGGAGGGAGAACCGGTAGCCGGGCAGATGGTTCCTGCAGAGGAAGCACGGGGCACAGCTGCAGTCCCCCGACCCCCACCGCATTATCACTGTGACACAGCTGGCTGCCTCACCCCTGAAGGCTGCAGGAGGACCTCCCCCACTCTGTCCCCAAGCCCGCCCCATGTCACATGAGGCCCTGCAACCTCCCACCCTCTGTCCAGGGCTTACAACCCAGCTCTGCCCGCGGGAGTGACTAGAAAGGCCCGGGGCCTCCGAGGAACAGAGGCAAGGGTGCCAAGACACCAGATCCGTCCCACCCCTCCAGTTCTTCCCAGACCCCAAGAAGTCAGAGGAGGCATTTCAGGGTGAGTTCTGGAAGCTGGCCATCTCACCCCAGCTCCAGGCACCCACCAGTCTCCTGCTCCATCTGCAGCTCCATGTCCCAGGCATCTACCACACCGGAGAGCGGGGCAGTACTCTCAGGACCCCGGGGTCTCCGACATGGCAGCCCAGGTAAGAGGCTGGGGTCAGGAACCGGGAGGATTGGAGAGACAGCAGCTGGGACAGGTGGGGCAGGTGACAGGAAGGCAGCATCTCCAAGCTGCCGTTCGTGTGCCCAACTTTGTTGACAACGTGGCTGTGTTGACCTACCTCAAATATCAACACACAGTCCCCCCACCAACAGGGAAGCGTCCCTCACATCTGGGGCAGGTGGCCCCAGAGGAGCATGGCAGGTGCCAAGCCTGAGTCCTGGCCCCACCCAGAGGCAGGTGTCTGGCTCTGTGTTAGAAGGAACGGGCTGTGTCTTCTACGGTGGGGGCTGAGGCTAGAAGCCAGGGGCTCAAAGATGTTTCCAGGCACGAAGCCTCAATGCAGGTTGGATGAGGAGGTCAAGGGCAGGGCTAGTGCAGGTCCAGCTACATGAGCATTTACTTCCAGCAGGACAGTGGGGGAAATGAGGACCTTTCTCATGCTCAGGAGTTGCTGGCTCTAGGCAGGGGACCCAGCAAGCTTCCAGGTTCCTCTACATCTCTGACCCACTCCAAGAACTCCAGGGACTCAGAGATACAAGCAGGTGGCTCCATCCCCAGATCCCATCCAGCCACGTGGTTACACTCCAGGCAACTTTGGAACTTTCCTGAACCCACAGTTCTGAGTCCCACAGTACACTTGCTGGGGCAGACTCTGGGCCTGGGGCACCCTTTTCTGTGGAGGGAATCACAGGGAGGCTAGTCCAAACCTGTAGTTGGCTCCAGGCTCCAACATCCAAGCCCCCATGTATCCAGAGACATACAGGACTCAAATGATGGTGCCCAGGTATACATGGCCCAACTTCCCAAGCAACATGTGTTAGTCTTGGCTTCTGCCGGGTGAGGAGATTCAGAGACACCTGTGAAGATGTGCTTATTCACAGGCCCACATATGAGTACCCTGCAGGGGGGTCCAAGGGAGCTGCCCGCCTCAGAGATGTCCTCACAGACCCACCACCCTGAGAACTGCAGTCAAATCTGTCCCTTTTGCTGCCTGCCCTGGGCCAGGTCCTTCCTCCCCATCAACCCCAGTTTCCCTCACGGCTCCTCTGGGATTGGAAAGGAGGCAAGAGGTGAGCTGTAGGTGGAAGAAAGATCGCTGTTGATTTGGATGAAGCAGTAGCCTAGGAGCTCGGGACCACAGGTGTATGTGAACGGCTGTGCCAGCAATGTGGATGTGGTGTTGGTGGGATGGCGATACCCAGAGCAGACAGTCTGTGTATGTCTCTGACAGAATGTCCATCCTCCAGCATACTGTCCCCAAGGCCACTTTGTGTATGCCACACTCCCTAAAAGCAACCTCCACCCAAGGGGACAAATGTGGGCCTCTGCAGTGCCAGGAAGCACCACCAGAGGCAGCGTGGAGCTGGGCCCCTTTGGCAGGTATAGGTGACTAAGAAGGTTTTGGGTCCTCTGGAAACCCCCAGGAATCTGTGAAAATCTTGGAGACAGAACATAGGTTAATTGGCTTTGCTCAAATCATTGCAAGAGTAGAGAGGTTTGAAACTAAGTGCCAAGAATCTGTTTCTCTACAAAGCCAGTGCATACAGAACACCCTAGGCTGTGGTCATGGTTTAATGGCAACCGGGGAGGTGTCTGCTGTGAGCTGGGACATGGAGGGCTGTGGGTGAAGTGTATGGCAAGGACAAGGACTGCCATTGTTCCTGTGACAGGAATGAGGAGTCAGCATTGCACAGGCAACCCCACCCCTCGGGATGATGGTGTGGCATCCCAGTCTGTCACTGACTTCAGAGGGCCAGAAGCAGACCAAATGCAGTGTTTACAGGCTCATGCTTGTTAGGTGCCTACTGTGTGCACCAGGAGAAGCATGAGCACTGCTAGTCTTGAAGGTTTGGATCAGATGGTGACTTTCTTCCCAGGAATGGGGCCGGGGGTGCCGTATACGGAGACCTTGAAATCCACCACAGACACTGTAGCTTGAAGATCCAGGTGGATTTAGCCCCCCCATAGGGGAGGCTCAGGCAGTGAAGCCCGGGGAGTAACTAAGTCAGGCTGGCTGGTGTGGCTTTAGAGAAACCACACGGGGCCTAGTTGAGCAGGAGGTAAGGAGTGTCACTGAGTGGATGAGCCCAAGCAGGGGCAGGAGGGCCTGAATGCAGAGGGACAATGGCCGCAAGGACACCTGGGCCTCTTGGTTCATATTGGAGTTCTGAGCCCAACCCTGGCCTGGCTGGATTCTACTATGCATTCCCTCCTCCTCCTCCTCCTTCCTCCCCTCCCCCTCCCCCTACTCTGCTGTCCTCCTCCTCCTTCCTCCCCTCCCCCTCCCCCTGCTCTGCTGTCCTCCTCCCCCTCCTCCCCCTCCTTCCAGACGATCACTGAGCTTGAATGCCCAGGGGTTCTTTCCTTATGCGTAGATTCTGCTAACCCTGGGTAGAAGTTATTCAAGAAAAGCAACCACATCCGAACTGGATCTCTTGTAATTGTTCTTGTAGGTCTGTCTACTGTGTCAGCTATCACACTATGCGGTACAGGCAGGACACACACGGGCCACTTTGTATGAGTGACTGGATACCTGGACACAGTTCCCTGTGATAACAAGGGGTGAAGGGGGCTTAGTTACAGGGTCACACCTCCACCAGATCATCTACCCTGCTGGATTCAGGCAGCCCTCATCTATGGCAGAGCTATGGCGTCTGTGCCCTCTGCCTGGGCTGCAATGATCCTAGTCCAGGTGCAGAATAAAGGGGGTGCTGGTCAGGGGGTCTGGTGTGCATCTCAGCTGCCCCCTTAAGGGAAAACCAGAGCTTTACTTTCATGGCAGATCCCACGGGCACCAGCTGCCAGGGGCACAGAGCACACCCCAGGGCAGCCGCAGTAAAGACCAACCCAGAAGCCCACCGCTGTTTCCACTGCACACTCAGCCTCCAAGGAGGCTGCTCAACCTCTGTGCTTGCTAGTGTGAACCAAGCTTTGTGGTGGGACCACGTGACCCACGCAGGAGGCAGGTTCCTGACAGATAAGAGATGCTAACATGGGAGCAACCTTCTGAGGTGACATGTCCCAAAAAGAGGGACTGCGGGGCCCATGGGAATCTGCAGAGAGTTAACGACGACCTTTGGCCCTCATCCGCTGATATGATGGTGACCTTTGACCTAAATCTATGTGAGTGACAGTGGTATCTCGCCCACATCTGCTTGAAATGGGGTGACATCTGACCAGCATCTGCAGAAGGTGACCCTGGAGATGACCTCTGACCCATGTTGTGCCAAAGCACCTTCACAGTGTCCTTCCTGTTAGGTTTCAGCTCCTGTCCCGTGCTGTGAGCTTGAGTTCCGCCCTCACTTTCCAGCCCTTCTTCCTTACCCGGGCCTGGCATGTTCAGAAGCCTGAAGCAAAGCTTTGTGGCCCGCCCGGACTCCACCTCTGCCTCTGCGTCGCTGGCCTCGTGGTTTCAGAAGCGTCGATGTGAGTTTGCACCCAGCCTTGAGAGATAGTAGAAGATGATACAGAGGCTCCATAGGGCATCCAGCGTGCTTTGCTGAGCCTGCAACCTAGACTCAGGAGCACACGGGTTCAGCTGCAAGGATGCATCTGTGGTGAGACAGCCCAAGGTCAGCTCCCGGGTGAAGGGGCCAGTCACAGGGCCAGAAACGCATGGGTTGAAAAGCGAATAAATCATGAGAGACGGCTTGCAAAAGTGAGACAGAGGAGGAAGGCAGAGCCCCAGGCTGAGCAGGCAGAGGATCGAGGGATAAGGAGGGTAAGTGTGGGTTCACACCCTGAATTCAGGACTTCCTCCTGCTGTCCCCGTGGACAGTGCACTCACCCACTCACACAACGCCCAGGTCTAGGTAAGGTAAAAGGCCTCTGCTCCAGTCCCTAATGTGGTCTCCTCCTGCCCTGAGGATGAGTAGCCAGCTCCTTCTGGGACACAGCCCTGTCATTCCCGAGACACATACCCTCTCCAACAGTAAGACTAATTGGAAGCTGGGAGGATGGTGCATGCAGAGACAGGGTGAAGGGTGGCGTCCATGACAGCTTCCAGAGAAGTGTCCCCGAGGGGACAGCTGGAGGCCACTCTTCAGGTAAGGGCAACTTTCAGTTCTCAATGCAAGTTGAGCAGAAAGCTTGTTGGGGGTGTGTGCTAACCTACATAGGCCTCTCTGGCCTCTGTTCCCCGAGGGGATGCCCGTCTTGTAGTCCATCTAGAACTGTCCACCTCAGAAGCCAAGGGAGGTGAGAGAGCGACCTCTCTGAAAGTATGGAGCAGTATGGGCTTGGAGGTGTTGTGAACATGGTGATGGACCCAAGGTCAGGCCACGTGGAAGCTGGTGAATTCTCCACGAAATTCCCAGGTGCATGTCTCCCCAGCACAGGATGGCCACTCAGAAGGACAGGAACCCTGTCCAGGGAGGCTCTTGCAGCTCTCCTAATGGAGCAGAACTGCTTGCTGTCTATTGGAAGAACGATGGATCTGATAGACACAGGCACCCTTAGGGTGCTCCCTGGGTCCATGGCCCTAAATGTCTAGACCCTCCCTCCCTCTTGTCCTGCAGGGGCCTCTGGCCATCGGCTGCCTTACAAACACCCGGGGCCTTTGTACCGTCTTTCCAGCTGCACTCCGTTCCTTGCAGCTCCTCCACGCCTGATGAGCCCCACAGTGTTTCCCAAGTTTATACGGGACATGTCGTCTGTCCCTCTCAGTTACAATTGGCTGCATAAGGTTGGGTCTCAGGCTGCCTAGACCAAGAGAAGGGTGTGCTCAGGAGTGCCTAGCACGGAAAGGGAAAGGAATGTCCATGGAGAGGTGCAGCCATGACAAGCTCACAAAGCGTAGGTTGGGCAGATATCTCCGGGACAAGCGAATGTTACTAGGGTCTACACAGCAGGGCAAGGGGGAGAACACAGTTTCTTGGTCATGGACACAGGGTCGAACCTGTTCCATTGTGTCCACTGATTGCCTCAAGCCTGGCAAGATCAGGGCAAGTTAGCCTGGATTCTAGGTGAGTGGGGATCCTG